CATAATTTTCGTTGACGAAAGCAACACTAGTCTCAGCAGTGGAGGTTGGCTGCTCATTTCACCAGAGAGGAGCAGCAGAGAGGGTGAAGGTTCTGGAGAATGACTTTGTGCTTCGTTGTGAAGGAACAACAAGGCATCTCTTATTAAGTTGCTGGCAGGAGAGAGTGTACACTTGTAGGTGTGAATTAAGGAAAGGATGTGCACTTCCAGTAATTAAATTGTAGAAAATATTAATAATAAAAGTTAAATACGTCCACAATTTTGACTGGTAGTTATTACCAGAGAATGATAATTCATTAAGGCCATAAGATCATCAGGTATTCACCCAATCCCATGCTGAAGTCTGCTACTTTGACTTCATCAGAATTCAAACCTCAGCTAAAATGGCATGTGGGGGCTGCATGTGGATGAGTGAACAGAACACGTTTGAGTCAGACTGGCACTGGCTTTCTCTTTGCCTGTCTGTCCCGGTGGCAGAGAGGTCATTGGGATGGCAGTGCAGTCGGGGCAGTCTGATCTCTCCTGGCGACTCAAGACTGTGTTCCTCCTGCATGTGGCTCTTTGAAGTTCTCTGGGAGTGTGTTCTGAAGTGCACTGAGGGTGTGTGTAATTGATTGGACTGGCAGGCTCTTTGCAGATTATTCCACATGGTGAAACTTCTCTTAGCACATTGCAGCAGGCTAAATATATATCCCTCAATGCCCATCCGAGAATTAAACTCTTAACTGCTGCTAATGCTTGCTTATCTGTTTTTAATTGAGCTGTTACATTGCTCATTCATTTTATGCTGTGCTAACTAAGGCCTTTACAGTTACGGCATGTAATAGTTGAACAATAAGTGTCTTTGGTGATGTGGACAAGTATGTTAGTGCCCACTAGTCCCAAAACGTAAAGGTTGCTGTTCAATCACTGCAAAGGGCACCATCAACATTGTGCCCTTGTAAGCATTTTTTTTTTAATCGATAGTTGCTAACAGGTGGTATTAGGGTGAGGGACATTCAGTAAAGAGACAGACTATAAGTTTAAATTGTATCTATATGCTAAGTTAATTTTGTCAACTTTAACAACAACTATGAAAAAATCTAACTACTAAAAATCAAAAAGTTCCTTTTTTCTGTGAAATCAAATAATAATGTTCAGGCATTTTTAATTTTAGTTCTGAAATAAAAAATGAGTAGAAATGCATATATTATGAAACATTGCTCTATATACATACAGTATATGAGATTACATACTGATTGAAGTGTTTTTTTTATTGTACAGTGTACAATATAGATAGTCACGGAGAAAGCAGACATGGACCAAATGCTTCAAAAGTTTAATTTTGATCTCATGTGGTCTTTAACCACAGATTGCTGCAATAACTCAAGGCACTTAACCTCAATAACCTGTAATAAGACCATGATCTCATTCTGTGGCAATATTGTGTAAAGTTACATGAATAAATTGCACCACTTTGGTCATGTGGTGATGTCTAAAGTCAAGTCAAGTCAAGTCTGCTTTATTGTCAATTCTTCCACATGTACAGCACATACACACAGAGAATTTAAATTGTGTTACTCTCAGACCCTTGGTGCACACAGATAACACTAACAGTAGAACATAAATACAGATAGATACAGATTTAAATATAAAATACAACTATACAATTATACAAATAAGGTAAAATGTAAAAAAAAATATAAAGCAGCACAAGGCGCATGGCAGATAGAGTGCAAACCAGTGAAGTAAACAACAGTGCAGATATAATGATTGTAGTGCAAAAGAGCTTATTCAGACAGATTAAAGTGACAGTGTGTGTGTGTATTTGGGAGGGGGGAGTGGGAGAGTCCATCAGAGGGTCAGAGTTCAGTGGTGCGTGGGGCAAAAGAGGGGAGGGGGGGCAAGGTCGGGAGGGAGTTGAGCTACAACAACTGGCTGCAACAACTGACTGATCAAATCATAGATATAGAGCAACAAAACAATACCCGGACTCTGTTATAAGCATTCTCAGGAACTTTAATAAAGCAAATCTCTCCCATGAACTGCCAAAATAAAGACAGCATGTTACATGTTCTACCAGAGACAGTAATATACTGGACCACTGTTACACCACAATAAAGGATGCATATCACTCTGTCCCCCAGGCAGCTTTGGGGCTCTCTGATCACTGTTTGGTTCATCTTATACAAACCTACAGGCAGAAAATGAAATCAGCTAAACCTGTAACAAGGACTGTGAAAAGATGGACTAATGAAGCAGAGCGGGATTTACAAGCCTGCTTTGACTGCACTGATTGGAGTGTTATTGAAGTTGCAGCCACCGATCTGGACGAGCTCACAAAAACTATAACATCATACATTAGTTTCTATGAGGATATGTGCATTCCTACCAGGACTCATTTAACATACAACTACGACAAACTGTGGTTCACTGCAAAACTCAGACAGCTCCGTCAGGCCAAAGAAGATGCCTATATGAGTGGGGACAGGGTCCGAAAAGCTGAGAAATCAGTTTTCAGCCATTGACCCTGCATCAGTGGAAAGGACTGAAAGACATCCCCAATTACAAGACACCATCCCCCAGCACTGTGGAGAATCAACAACTGGCTGATGATTTGAATGAGGTCTCACACCCCACACCCATTTTGACCTTCTCTCTATGGATCTATTAACACCTCCAACAAACCCCTCTCACCCCTCCTGCACTTCAGATCAGTGAAGATGATGTGCACCAGGTCTTCTGGAAACAGAAGACAAGAAAAGCACCAGGCCCAGATGGCGTTACACCAGCCTGTCTGAAATCCTGTGCTAACCAGCTGGGCCCTATCTTCACACAGATCTTCAACAGATCACTGGAGCTATGCAAAGTCCCTTCCTGCTTCAAACGCTCCACCATCATCCCCATCCCAAAGAAACCCAAAATCACAGGACTTAATGACTACAGACCTGTGGCTTTAACATCTGTAGTCACGAAGTCATTTGAAAACTGGTGATGGCCCACCTGAAGGACATTACTGGACCCTTACTGGACCCCCTGCATTTTGTTTACTGAGCAAACAGGTCTGTGATGATGCAGTCAACATTGGACTGCACTACATCCTGCAACATCTGGACAGACCATGGACTTATGTGAGGATCCTATTCGTGGACTTCAGCTCACCCTTCAACACTATCATTCCAAACCTCCTGTCCAAATTAACCCAGCTCTCTGTGCCCACCTCCATCTGTCAGTGGATCACCAGCTTCCTGACAGACAGGCAGCAGCTAGTGAGGCTGGGAAAATTCTCATCCAGCACCCATACGATCAGCACTGGCGCCCCTCAGGGATGTGTGCTCTCCCCACTGCTCTTCTCCCTGTACACCAATGACTGCACTGCAAAGGATCCCTCTGTCAGGCTCCTGAAGTTTGCAGACGACACCACACTTATTGGCCTCATCCAGAACGGTGACAAGTCTGCTTACAGACAGGAGGTTAAAGAGCTGGCTGTTGTCTGGTTCAGTTATAACAACCTGGAGCTGAACACACTCAAAACAGTGGAGATGATAGTGGACTTAAGGAGAAACCCCCCTGCACTCCCCCCACTCACCATCATAAACGGCAGTGTGGCAACAGTGGAGTCATTCAAGTTTCTGGGCACCATCATCTCTCAGGATCTGAAGTGGGAGTTCCATATAGACTCCATTGTCAAAAAGGCCCAGCAGAGGTTGTACTTCCTTCACCACCTGGAGAAGTTCAACCTGCCACAGGAGCTGCTGATACAGTTCTACTCTGCAGTCATTGAATCCATCCTCTGCACTTCAGTAACTGTCTGGTTCAGCTCAGGTACCAAATCATACCTTAGAAGTCAAAGTCAAAGTCAAAGTCTGCTTTATTGTCAATTCTTCCACATGTACAGTACATACATACAGAGAATTGAAATTGCATTACTCTCAGACCCTTGATGCATACAGATAACACTAACAGTAGAGCATAAAAATACAGATAGATACAGATTAAATATAAAATACAAAAATACAAATATACAATATATAAAAATAAAAAGTTAAATAAAGCAGCTCAAGGCACATGGCAGATAGAGTGCAAACCAGTGAAGTAAACAAACAGTGCAGATAAAATGATTGTAGTGCAAAAGAGCTTATTCAGTCTGATTAAAGTGACAAAAAGCTCAGAGAGCAGTTATTTATTTAAACTGACTGAAGAGGTAGTTGAATGAGGTCAGTTCAATGCTGAATGCTGAATGAGGTAGTAAGCAGACCAATGCTGCACAAGGTGACTGGTGCAGGTCACAGTTTGTTATGGAGGGAGGGGAGAGAGACACCAACGATCTTCTCAGCTGCTCTCGCTATGCGTAGAAGATTGCAGCGGATAGTCCGGACTGATCGGCGAATCACTGGTACAACCCTCCCCACTCTCCAAGAACTGCACTCATCCAGAGTGAGTAAAAAGGCTGGCAAAATCATTCTGGACCCCTCACACCCAGGCCACTTCCTCTTTGAACTGTTGCCATCTGGTCGGTGCTATAAAGCACTGAGCACCAGAACAGCCAAGCATAAGAACAGTTAACCTCAGGCAATCCATCTCATGAACAGTTAACTTGGCAATGAACGTGTAATACAGAACATTATTTATACATTTATTTATTTAAAACACCATACTTGTTCACATTTCCTTGCATTTGTACATAACATACCTGTACACACAAATGCCATCTATTGTCTATTTGTATATTGTGCATTTTTTAATCACATTTTTTATTCTATTTACTTATTCTATTTTTATTATTTGTGTCTTGTCACTGTAATGCTGTGGATGCTTCTGTCACCAAAACAAATTCCTTGTTTGTGTAAACATACCTGGCAATAAAGCTCTTTCTGATTCTGAGATTCTTTTGTTTTTGAAATCAAAAACTGTGCAATTATATGACCTAAAATTATATGATCCATTTTACAGGTTTCATGACAATCAGCCCATTTAGACTGTAATCTTTATTCCTTGTCTTCCTGTTTTTCTCTCCACAGAGTGTGTGTCCTGGACGTGTGTTCGCCATGTCTCTAGTTCAGGCACTGCCTGTGCCCACTGATCACCCGAAGCCCAGCGCTGACATCCAGCAGTGCTGCTCAGTGTCTCACTCCCCCACCGTAGCTGCGGCAGGCACCATGGGCTCCGTCAGCAGCCTTATCTCTGGACGTACCTACCAGGAGCGTCACTGCCGAGCTGCCAGCGACTTTGGCGCCAAGTATCGCAAACCCACACCAACTACGAGCTGTTTCCGACAGCAAGAGGGCACGCTGCGCAGTGCCAGCTCACAGGAGCAGCTTCTCACCAGACAGCCTCCTCTACCTGCTAAGAACAAGTCCTCTGCCCTCATCTCTGCTGGCAATGGCAACTATGGCTATTTGAGTGATGAGCCAGTGGGCGACTGGAATGATAATCATGTTACCCCGTGCAGCCCGTCCAGTGATACCGAAGAGCCTCCTGATAACAGAGGCATGAATGGTAACATTGGTGGCCCTCCTCCCAAACTCATCCCAGTGTCAGGGAAGCTGGAAAAGGTGAGTCCGGGGGTGCTTAGGAAGTAAACATAAAAGAAAAAAACTTTACGGCTCAAAAAAGAATTAGCACAAGTGCTTTAAAAGTCGTACAAACTACACATTTGTTATTTTTAACCAGATAATTTCTTTAAGTAGCTAATTTAAAATTCTGCCCATTGTTATATTGTCATATGGTCTCATTTGTTTGTTTTTCTGTAAAGAATGGTAGTTTTGCTGATGCTCATTACACACAGTGGGTAGTACATCTAAATGGCTAATAATTTCTGTTGATCAAAGAGAGCCTTTAATCATTGCAGTATGTCAATATGCCATCACTTACTGTACACATTTAATCAATGACACCTCAGTTACACTCTCAACAAAAATAAAGGTTCCTGTTGTTGTCTTCATGCTTTAGCCATGTATTGTGTAGATACATTACCATTCAAAAGTTTGGGGTCAGCAAAATTTTTTATTGAAAGAAATAATTATTCAGCAAAGACAGATTAAGGACAGTGAAGACATTTATATTTTTACAAAATATTTATTTTCAATTCTTTTAACTTTATATTCAACAAGAACGCTTAAAATCAAAATCATGGTTTCTACAGAGTTACTGATAATGACATTGATAATAATAAGAAATGTTTATTGAGAATCAGATTGACCTATTGGAATGATTTCTGAAGGATCATGTGACACTAAAGACTGGAGTAATGGCTACTGAAAATTCAGCTTTTCCATCACAGGAATAAATTCTATTTTAAAATGTTAAAATACAAAATTACTGATTTCACAATATTGCTGTTTTACTGTATTTTTGATCAAATAAATGCAGCCTAGGTAAGCATAAGAGATATCTTTCAAAAAGATTAAAAATCTTACCAACCCCAAAGTTTTCAACAGCAGTGTAGTTAGCATTTTAGTTAAAGTGTTAAATGTGGTTTTACGTAGTAGTCACATTAACCATTTACTTTTGATCACAGAGTATGGAGAAGACACTGATCCGTCCCACTGCCTTTAAGCCGGTTGTGCCCAAGAATCGCAACTCTGTGCAGTACCTGTCTCCACGGTCAGGGGGCAGTCTGACTGAAAGCCAGGGCAGCCTCAACCTCTTACTTCCTGGCACTGGAGCATTGTTGGGTTGTCAGGAGAAGCGTAACTCTTACAGTGGGGGGCGCAACGCACGGAATAGCCAATCCTGCACTATGTCGGACTCAGGCCGCAACTCACTCTCCAGTCTACCAACCTACAGCAGCACAGGGTACAGCCTGGCACAGAGCGAGGTTCCCACCGGGCACATGGAAACCACACGCTCCAGTGGTGGCCACGGACACTCTAACTCTGACAGTGGTCGGTCATCATCCAGTAAGAGCACAGGGTCTTTAAGTGGCCGTGGGCAGCCCCTCTCAGACAGTGGATCGTGTGGCCGCTCCCCGGCTCCAGGAGAAGGGTATGAGGGCGTCATTCGGGAACTTGAGGAGAAGCTGAGGGAAAGAGACCTCCATCTGTCAGGTGACAATCGCAGTTTTCTACCAGTTATTAGTGCCATTTGACAGGGAATTGTTAGATACGGTGGATACAACGTAAGTAAAATCATATGTCTTTTCCATGCAGGTGTATGAGGAGAAACAGAAGCGGTGTGAGCAAGAGTTGGAGGACCTTCGGCAGAGCTGTGCATCGAAAATGAAGCAGGTGCAGCTGAAGGCACAACGGGCACAACAGGTCCTGCAGTTGCAGGTGTTCCAGCTGCAGCAAGAGAAGAAGAAATTGCAGGAGGACTTCTCCCAACTGCTGCAGGAACGGGAGGCATTGGAGAAGAGATGTGCCTCTTTTGAGAAGGAGCAGACTCAACTAGGTCCTCGTCTAGAAGAGACAAAGTGGGAGGTGAGATCTTGTACCAATTTAGATCTAGCAATGAGTAATAATTACATTCAATGAACTTGAATGCTCCTGTGTTGCAGGTCTGTCAGAAGTCTGGTGAGATCTCTCTGCTGAAGCAGCAGCTGAAGGATGTACAGGCTGATCTTGGTCAGAAGGCCAGCGAGATTGTTGCTTTGAAGGCCCAGTTGAGAGAGGCTCGTTCCGAGCTTCAAGCTAGCCAGGCTCGCTCGCAGGAAGCCCACGCCACAGCCCGCACCCGTACACTCGAACTTGAGGTTTGCGAGAATGAGCTGCAGCGTCGTAAAAGCGAAGCGGAGCTCCTGCGGGAGAAGGTGGGCCGTTTGGAAGAGTCCATCCGTCTTAAAGAGACCCTGGCAGTGCCCCCGTTCCAAACTCTACCTTCTAAGGGCCAATGCATGAGCTTGCCCCTGCCCCAAAGCCGTGGGGGAATCACTCACGGGATCAGTCCTGCTTTCCGGGACAACAGCAGTGAAGAGCAGTTTCTAGCATATGAAAGCGATGAAGCGAAGGTGCAGCGTCAGAGCGTGGATGTGCTTCATGGTCTCCGTCAGCAGGTGGACCGAATGCGGGCTGAGCTGATGTATGAGAGGAGGCGGAGTGAGGACCAGCTGGAGGCCTTTGAGGATGAACGCAGGGTATGGCAGGAGGAGAAAGACAAGGTGATTCGTTACCAGAAGCAGCTGCAGCAGAACTACATCCAGATGTACCGCAGAAACCGAGACCTAGAACGTGTGATGAGAGAACTTAGTCTTGAGCTGGAGAACAGGGACATGGAGGAGTTTGACATGCGTAGCAATGAGATCCATTTTGAGGAGATCACTGCCACTGAAATCTAAGCCACATCTCACTCTGCCATCCCAAAATGAATTTCCACTGAGGTTGTGTGAGGAGCACTGGCCTTCACTGCAGTATTTTTGGCATGCTTCTCCACACTATTTCAGAAAGACTTATGTTCAAGGCAAGTTATTGTTGTGATGTCCGCAGAGGCCAATAAAATATGTAACATTTGTATTTAGACATCTTTGTGATCACTTCCTGCCTCTGACACCTGTGAGGAAACCTGTGAGATGAATGTACAATGACTGTGAACAGCAGTTAATTGATGCCACTGGTGAAGGGAAGGTGTCCTCAAAGGTGGTGCTTTGTTCCTGGCAAACCCCTATAGTACAACTAGGGCTATAATTTAGCTTAATTCTGAAAAAAAGTAATGCAAAAAATATCACATTTAATCCCCCGTTGATCTGAAACGTGGATTCTTTAAGAAATTTTTCACACAGGAAGTTCACAAAAGACATGTTTTTCCATTCAAAAGCATCTATGCAGTGGTGCGGAAGTATAAATTGTTGACATAAACAGCGACATGCGACGACGGCCAAAGACATTTGTAGCATAGAGTGAATGCTAGAATGTGTCCTTTGTGAACAAGATTGGGAAATTGGGCAGATTGACAAACCCAATTTCTAAATGGGTTGATGTGAACTGAAGACCAATGATGGGCTTATGTTCAATGATAACGAAATAAAATATGACACTTACAAATGTCCATTCAATATTTTACTCGCCTGCTAACTTAATTCATTTGGAATTTTTTTCTTAGCAAATATACTGAAATGGTTATGAGATCGAAGAACCAATGGGAAGCAATACAGCATGTAGGCTAAGGGTTTCATGGTGTTTCTCATATTCTATGTAGTACAGAGCACTCTACTTGTCTCGCCCATTGTACCAGCATTAACACTGATGGGAAAAGACTTGGAGGCACTCTAATGAGCATCTCATGTTAGGTCACAGAAACTGCAGTTTTGTTGCATTCATTCTTGGTGTTCTAGTTGTGCTGGTGTTAAGTCCTCAATAACATTGTGTCATATCTTCTCAGCTATTTACGGCACTATGCAGCAAGAACTGTCACCTCTCATCTCACAGCCCCGCTGCTTACGCTACATTTGATACTAATCACTGATGTAGAAGTGTTATTTTTATAATTAGATGATATATTAGTAGATATAACTAGCAAATATAGAGGCAAATATATATTTTTTCTTTTCTTTGTGAGTATTGCCACGCACACTGTACAGAGTGAATAGCACGTGTGCATGACACCGTAGCATTTCTGTGGCCAGACAGTCTGGCGTTGAGTCACGTTATGGCATAACACAGGTCAACCGGTTGGTTTTTCCAACCAGTTCTGCTCTGTAATGACATAGTTGATGAATGCATAGATATTATGTTAGATTTGCATACAATCTGAGGAATACTAATCAAATGTTTGTGGTCATTTTGTTAAAGGGATATATACACTATATAAACTTTGTTGTTTTTACATATTCTTTAAAAAAGAGATGAAGAATTAAATATATATATAAATATGATGTATATTTTTATATATAGCACCTCGAGCTATTTTGTGGTAACACAGGTAACTTTGTGAGTTTAATAAATATGAAAGGCATATTTCACACACTTTTTTTTGTCCAGAGGGGTCATTTGCCATAGCATGTTCATAGGGAGCTCTGACAGTATTTCATATAGTGGTTAGTGTTTTTATATTCATATGGAGTATTTACTATGTCCTTCTCTGATCATAACGTACAGCATTATTGCATAATTTTTGAACATGTTGTAGAAAAGTAGCAAGAACATTGTCTGACAACAAGGCAATGCTTGAGAGCTTTTTTGACAGGGAAGAAAAAACTTAATGGCAAAAAATTATGAAATGAGGAACTCTCAATACAATATCACATTTTAGCCATCGCAACCAAAGATAATCTGTTATGTATTTTCCATAGTATCTTTATCAGCTTATAGTTACATACATTTACACATTTTTCACTCAGCGCTTCCTTTTTTACAAAACCATGTAATATACGCTCAATAATCCTACATTAAAACAGACACTTTATTTATGTGATAATCATTTTTATATTTTTCATTCAAGGCCAAATTATTCATTTCATTATTGGTCAGAATGATTCACTGTTTGTGATTAGTCTAGTCTTGTATCGCTTCAGTTCATTTTTACATTCATCAATGACTACCTGAGAATCAGAAGATGTGATGCCATATTTTTCTCACCCTGCTCAGATTATCATCCCCTTGTGTTGTCAGGATCGTCTCTGTAGCACAGATATGTTATGAGTGTACGAAAAGAGCTCTCTTACCCCTGGACAATATCCTGTGCATTTCTTCCTGGCATGTCAATCACGCCCCTGAAAAATACACGTGTAAATATTCCTCTTATTGTAATATTATCGGCATATTCAATATATTTGTTTTTACACACAAATATCTTGAAGGTGTAACCACTGTGAATAGACCAAAGCAAATGAACGTTTAATCTTTTTGCCCTCATGTATGTGCTTGTGTATGTTTCCTTTGTCAATCTGTAGTCTTTGTAGTCATGTATGTATATTTTCCTGTTGTATATTTCTTGTAAAAAATGTGTTTTTAATAAAAGAAAGTTGCCTCATTCTGAGTCTGGTGTTTTTGAAAATTGACCTACAGTTTAACGAGTCAACAATTTTACTTTACAAGAAATAAAATTTTTAGTGCTTTCTTTAAACCTAATACATTCATATCCTAATTAATAAAAGAGTTTAAAAATGCATGTTGAAGCACTATAACAATGCAAGACACTAGAACGCAAGTAACGTTTTTTGTTTGAAATTAACTAAATTTAAATTTTGAGCAAGTACATCATAAATACATCTTCCAAACTTTTTTGTGCCTTAATGTTTCTCTCATTCCTCCATGCATGTTTCAGGAGTTCGCACTAACGTATAATGTGATTGAGCAATTAGTAGCATATTTGGCGTGCTGTCCAGAGGGAGGGCTCCGCGCTCGGGTTAAAGCCTCGGGTTAAAGAAAACTGTCGTGGAACTGAGGCAAGTTGGCACTGTATATATATATATATATATATATACATATATATACATATACATACACACATACACACACACGTATTGTGCTTGTTAAGGTGATTAGCTGACGAGCTCCACCTGGGCCAAACTGATTGATTATCTGATCATGCTCCTCCCGAACCTTGTTAATAAAAAATCATTTACGTCACATCAAGGAATACAGGTCATGGCTATTATTGGTGGAAGGTATTCTAGGCCCTGTCCCAAATGGCACACTTCATGTGCACTTACGGTCTTGTGGACTTACAATGGCCACCGTGTGCGAGTATCCATTAAGTCCATAAGACCATATGGTGTCCCATTCATCAGGCTTGTCCAAATACCCACACTTGAGGTCTTGGCCACTTGAGAGTGCGTGCACACACCATGAAGTAAGTGCGCAAGACTGTACCAGGTCGAAAAAACTTGAATACAGCTTCTGAGTGGTATTTGAGGCTAAGCATTATCCCATCATGCATCATGTTCTGGAAATAAATCGTGAGATTTTTGCTGAGGTCTCGCAAGAGGTCATGAAAACCTTTCCAGTGTAAGAAATATTAATAATAATTAGATATTACATATAATTTGGTAGTAAAACAAAGTGTTGCATGTTTTATTGGTGCAAAGATGAGTATGCTTATTTTGTACAACATTTGCAACTGCTTTTTATCACTTAAGTAGAAGGACCACAATTACTAAATTGTGTTATTTGTTATAGGTACTACTGAACAGACATTTAGAAGTTTATTTTAAAATGCAAATTATTGAAAATCAAAATCAAGTTCTGTGAACACTTGCATTTTTACAACAGGTATAAGTGTGTCCCAGGTAATGAAAAGTTCTACACACACTTGTGTTCTTCACTCCCACTTGAACACTTGAGCCAAATAGTGGTCAAGCGCAAAGACTGCAAGTGTGGGTATTTGGACAAGCCCGTCATTTTAGCTTTCAGAAGGGTGCTCACGAGCGCCCCCTTTGTGGCTGCTATGCGCCCTTGATGTGCACTTCAACCCAACAATCAAATCGGCATTACATTTAGGGTGCGATTTGGGACAGGGCCTTAGCTTGAAACTACACAAAAAGAAAGAGTTTGCAAACAAAAAGGGAAAGCAACTGTTTGCGTAATAAAACATGAATCAACATTAGCTTGGCTTTAGTTTGCAAAGCATCATATTTGCTGAGCATTGACTGGGTTCACAAAAAATGTTTTTGCTGGTAACAATGCCAAACTCCAAACCAATTACTAGTACTTTGGTCCAGTTGTCTATAAATAGCCTACTAGCCAAGTTAAATTGGTTTACACCCTTTTTCCTGATATCATACAAATCTCGATGGTTAATTCTAACGCCAGCATCGGCAAGCATTTGTAATGTTATTTTAAAAATATATATATTTTCAACAAGTCAAAGAACCAGACATATAAGTTACTTACCCGTCTTTCTTTCGTCATTTATTGATTCGATCATGGGCACACTGGTGCGCTTGAACCAGTCAAGGTGATGATACTCGGGGCAACTTTTTGAGCAATGTCAACAAGGCAACCAGGTGAGACACAGGGCCCACGACCGATCTAAAGTATCCAGATAGAAATTTGTTGCCCATTCTCAATGGGAAAGTGGTCAAGCAGCATCGCTTGGCAACATTGCTCAAATAGTTGCCCCGTTTATCATCACCTTCAGATTCTTCCACGCAGAATAGCGGAGCCAAAGCACAACTCGCGTAATCAAAACAATGTTCCTCCACAATAACTTGTAGTTTTATGCGTCAACCACTAGAGGGACAAAAGTTACACAACGTATCTTTAATAATCTGTATTTTATCATATTAGATCAGAACTAGAGTCGAAAGAGCTTACACAATGGAAACCGTCAATATTTAACCTTTTTATTTATAATCACACAATGACTTTTGTAATAAAACAAATTGCAAAAATGCAGACCAGATGCTTTTTACATGCTTTCTTTAGATGCGTACAGAGAAAAAAAGTTTAGTATATAACACTGATCCTACAATCATCACAACGTTTAGATCTTAATTGCACAGTCCATATGTGCAGCTTTAAGGCACAAATATAAAAAATGCTAAGTATAAACATAAGTTGCCAAAAATAGAAATTCACTTAGAGCACAGGATGTAAAGTGAGACAGGCATCCTCATTTGTAATAATCCCCCAGACATTCACTAAACCAAACCAACAATTTAAAAGAAAAACAGACCTAATCTCAATCCATACTGTGGCCATGTGTAATCTCTCTCAGGCATGACTGTGGAGACTGTAGGATGGATGGGTAGTGTTATGACTTATGAT